TGCATATAGACATCTATATTTTGTATAAACCTTGGGACTTGTACATATTCTTTGTGTTGTATATTTACATGGGATTTTGAGGGCTGATTTGATCTTGTCACCATGAATTGTAATATAAATATCGCTTTATGTTTTGTTCTTCTTGGGGTGTATAAACGCAAGTCTTGTAATATCCTACATCTACTATTACTTTCGAATGTTTGTCTGAAGCATGAGCAGACTGATTTTGGTACTCCGAAGCTTGTAATATTCTTGCTATTTCATCCTTGAGTGTGAGGATATTATATATACATGAAAAGCTCGTCGGTTATTTGCTTAAAATACTTTTCGGAGGTCATTATGCATCTAATCCCTCTACTAGATTAAAATCAGTATGCCTTCGTTAATAGCTTTTGAGTGTCGCAAGTATAAGTTAAGTCTCTTTAAAAAGGGTCGCTTCAAGTGTTGGTATCATAGCCTAGGTTTGTGGTTCTAGGAATTTTGATTTGAATTACTTGTATACTTGTTCACTTTCGAAAAAGGTTCTATTTGTATCATTTGGTCAATTACATGGTTTATAATGTTTTTTTATCGCATGTATAGTGCATATGCATCAAGTACATATCCCTAATGTAATGTGATATTTCCTTTTGAAGGAATTAAGTCATGGCCACTTCTTCTGACCGACCTATGGAAGCTGCTCGTGAAGGTTCGGGTGCCTCTGTTTCCCAACCTCATGCACTGGAAGGGGTTGGAGATAATATCTCGAATCAGTATGTTTCCCACAGTAGTGGTTCTGAAGTGGGAAACCATCAGGATGTAAGAGCTGGTCCACATCCTCACATGAGTCATGGTACTCAAAACCGTGAATCCTCATTTTCAACAAATGGTTGAATTCTTCCACCACATAGCTGAATCAATGCATGATCCCCACGGGATTAACTTTGAGAAAATAAGGAAAATGGGTGGAGTGGAGTTTGAAGGCACTGTTGATCCCATTGATGCTGAACAATGGCTTGATCGCATGGATAGGGTATTTGAGTAGTTAGAGTGTTCAGATGATGCAAAATTTAAGTATGCTATTTCACTATTACAAAAGGATGCTTACGATTGGTGGGCAAGTGTTCTGATGCCAAGGTAAAACCTCCTGTTCTTACTTGGGATGATTTTCTTAAGGAATTTCGTATGAAGTATGTCCCACCTGCTTATTGTGATGCAAAGAAAAAGGAGTTTCTGAATCTAAGGCAATGAGGCATGTCTATTGCTGAATACGAACAGAAGTTT